ATATATATATATATATATATATATATATATACACACAAACACACACAATCTAAAATGTAAAATAAACTGTAAAATAAATGTAAAAAAATTAGTAAAAAAAATTTAATTATATAGCCTTTAAACAAATTTTTTTTGCTTTAATTATGTGAACACCTCTTTACGTGAATTAAACCTTCACTCTCTCATTCAACTAGCCTTTTCCTTCCTGTACTGTGTTCTTTAGAGGTCATTATCATGAGTATTATGATAACTGGCAGCCACGTTCAAGGTTCCACTCCACCAGAAGGAACTTCCTGTTAAAGAGGTCACATTTCCTGCCTGAGTAACACACAGCAGTGACGTCTCTCCGAATCATGTACAGTAAGTTAGCAGATATCAGTAAACCACATGCACTTCCCCTGTGACTACTGAAAGAGTTTTGGTTTAGGTGAAAGGAGAATGATGGGAGTGGAGGAGAGGAAGGATAGAAGGAAAAAGAGAGAGGAGAGGTGTAATGTTTGCGTGGCATAAGAAGTCAGTCTCCACTCTACCCACATCCTCCACTCGCCATGATGACAGCTCAGACGCCTTGGTCTGCTCAATCAACACATGGCCCAGTGAAAGAGAGAAAGAAATAGAGAGAGAGAGAGAGAGCAGTAAAAAACACAAATCACATCTGCTCATGAACAACAAGCCTGAAGATTGATAGACTGGAATTCTGTGTATCAAACATCACAAGTAATGCTGTTTTAGTGCTCTTATAAGGGCAGACAGACAGACAGACAGACAGACAGACAGATAGATAGATAGATAGATAGATAGATAGATAGATAGATAGATAGATAGATAGATATAACTTCTCATACTAATCAATATTAAACTGGAAATGTGTAATAATAGTAATGATACAATATTCATACAATATTTATAGAATAAAATCGAATCAAATAGAATAGAACAGAATAGAATAGATAAAAAAGACCTCAAATGAAAGAAATGACTAGACTAGACTAGACTAGACTAAAATAAAATATAATAAAATAATAAATAAAATAAAATAAGCACATACTAATCCATTTTATCTCTAAGAACACATAATAGTTTTAAAAATTCCAAAATTAATTACAGACATGAAATGAAATAAAATAAATAATATAAAATAAGAAATAAAATAAAATAAGCACATACTAATCCATTTTATCTCTAAGATCACATAATAGTTTTAAAAATTCCAAAATTAATTACAGACATGAAATGAAATAAAATAAATAATATAAAATAAGAAATAAAATAAAATAAGCACATACTAATCCATTTTATCTCTAAGATCACATAATAGTTTTAAAAATTCCAAAAATAATTACAGACATGAAATGAAATAAAATAAATAAAATAATAAATAAAATAAAATAAGCACATACTAATCCATTTTATCTCTAAGATCACATAATAGTTTTAAAAATTCCAAAAATAATTACAGACATGAAATGAAATAAAATAAATAAAATAATAAATAAAATAAAATAAGCACATACTAATCCATTTTATCTCTAAGATCACATAATAGTTTTAAAAATTCCAAAAATAATTACAGACATGAAATGAAATAAAATAAATAAAATAATAAATAAAATAAAATAAGCACATACTAATCCATTTTATCTCTAAGAACACATAATAGTTTTAAAAATTCCAAAAATAATTACAGACATGAAATGAAATAATATAATAAATTATAATAAAATAAAATGAACTGCATATACTAATCCATTTTAGATTTGAATTCTGTGCATCTAACAGTGAAACATTTTAGTGCTGTTATAAAGAAAGACAGATAGATAGATTGGAGTAATAAAACAATATTCATAGAATAAAATAATTCGGTCACACTTTAGTTTAGTAAATTCTCAGTATTAACAAACCATTAACTATGACTTTTGCCTCAATAAACTCCTAATTTGCTGCTTATTCATAGTTAGCAAGGTAGTTGTTAAGTTTAGGTATTGGGTAGGATGGGATGTAGAATATGGTCATGCAGAATATGTGCTTTATAAGTACTAATAAACAGCCAATATGTTATTAATAATAGGCATGCTAATAAGCAACTAGTTAATAGTGAGAATTGGTCCCTATAAACAATAATTCAAAAAGAGA